TTAAAGCCCCCCCCCCCCGGCTTGGAGAAGGCGTTTGTCTCTTTAAATCCCTTCTCCAAGCCAAACTGCCTTGCGTGAGGGCAAATACATTTGATTAGCAAACGAAGAAATAACATTGGACAAATACCGTATTTTCCGGCGTATAAGACGACTGGGCGTATAAGACGACCCCCAACTTTTCCAGTTAAAATATAGAGTTTGGGATATACTTGCCCAGAGACTGTATTTACCAGCATATAAAACGACCCCCCCATTTCTGAGAAGATTTCCCTGGGTTAAAAAGTAGTCTTATACACCAGAAAATACAGTAAATATCATTATCAATATCTGGTTTTGCCCCTTTTTGTTTTTATTTTTGGCAGTCTCATTTAATGTTAATAAAAGGCAAGTTTGCAGTTTTTCAGTAAAAATGTGTGCGTGATATCTGTTCATGTCTCGTGGCTCTCAAACATCTGACGCTTATTCTGTGTGGCTCTTCCATTGAGCACCTTTGGCCACCCCTGTTCTATAGGGTTATGAATCTTAAACCCTTGTGTTTTAATTTTGGATTTGTATGTAAACTATGCTGGTAAACTGCTTGGGTGATCTTCGATCAAAATAAATGTTGATGACGAATATTTGGTAGTGTAGGTTTGTACCCCTATTTTTCCCCCCCTGAACTAGCTACTGCTACTTGTGGCAGTTTATTTTTTCCTTTGGCGTGCTCTCCCTGTCCTCACAGGGGAAAGGCGAGGTGGATTCCACCAACAGAAAAGCCACGTCAGCTGGAGGAAAGCGGCTACCCCATTATCAAGAAACAAGGACTTGATGCTTATTTTAGGTCAATGTTAAATCAAGACGAAAAAGAGAATTGCAAAGTAATCCAGTGCTCTCCTACACTTGATAAGCAGGGGCCATTTTAGAACAGGCTTACACATGTAAGACCGGTCAGGAAGCCAGGGGCGTTTAATACTTCTTCATTCAAAAGAGTGGAACATAGTCCTCATGCATGCCCTCATACGTTTCTTTTCCCCATTGTAAAGAGCAAGAGTCCACAAAATATGTGGCACAGTATGAGCTTTCGTGAGTCACTGCTCACTTTGTCAGATTGTGAAATTGTTTAAGGGTTCCAAATACCTTCTGCTTATTTAAATATCTGACCGAATCAAGATCACCAAATGTTCGAAACAATGCAACAAAGATTAATGTATTGGGGGGGGGGGAGAATTTCTGTAGTTTTCTTTAATAGCAGTACACATTTGAACTGGGGCATAATCCAGCTCTCCAGAAACACCTACTGAAATAGAGGCTGGGATGACTTAATAACTTCTGCTCATTTCAATACATCTGTACACTAGTTAAACAGGTTGCCAGAATAATCACTGCCCGAATGTGTACATTTTAGCATCCGCTGAATCCTTGTTTCTAACAGATACAACTCAATGATGGCTGTCATTGTCTTGTTCCAGCCAGTGTTCCAAAGGGCTAGTGGCAGAGCGCCTCTTGACTGAACACCATTTTGGACCGATTCCGGTTTTGCTCCAGGTAGAGGGCGTACGTGTGTTTTTGGTGAACTGCTCTGTGATGGAATCTACACAGAGCTGGGCTTTAGACACACAAATAGCTCTCAGGCCACAGACATTTTTCGCAAGGTGGCATAGAATCTCTAACAAGCTACCACACAGAGGGAAACTTTATTGCCCACGCTTAAAACGAGGTGATGTGTTGCGCAAGCAAGGCGGGGGGCATTCGTACCCAACTATCCTGCCCTGATAAACCCAGGAATCAGTTTGGATGCTCCCAACAGATGGGGAGGCAAGAAAAGCTTTTCTCATTATTATTCCTGGAGCTTCCCACAAAAATCCTAGTCAATACATTTTATATATCAGATAGCTGGGCAGAAGTTACTTATCGGGTGGCTAGGTTCGGATGGCTTGCCCTAAGAATCAGAAAATCTATAGTAGCTCGAAAAGAGGAGAATTAAGATTAAGTTTTATTAATTTCAACCATTATGGCTTTTATGGTGTTTTTATAACCAGTCTTAAAATTCCGTTCCTATTTAATGTGATATCTTTTACCCTTGTCACAAAGTGACATTGTTTTATGTGTGGGTCAATGACTGTGAATAAAACTTATCTATCTATATAGTATGGAAACATTCTTGCTTTTTACAAAACAAACACCACCAAGTGAAGTTTACAGTGGATTCAACATACAAAAGAAAACACCTGTCAACTTTGCTCGCATTTTCGGGCTTGGTTGCCATGGGGACGTAGGGAGTGAGAAGAATGTCTACTTTTGCTTTCGGCCACTTCCATGTTGCCCGACAAGTAACCTTGAGCCCCAGCAGAGCCTGGTATCCTCTTT